AAACCAGGACCCCCCTCCCTAATCAGTTTCTTCACCTCCTCCCACCTAAGCAAAATGATATTTTCTATTCCCCTCCTCATCATCTCATGAGAATTTACATTGAATGTTTTCAAAGTTCTTTACAATGCTAGCCGAAATGGGTAAAATTGAGAGGTAATATATTGGTAAATTGGCCAAAGTGCTTTTTGTCAAGGTAAGTTTACCTCCTTTAGAGAGAATATTCCTTTTCCACACCGCTAACCTTTTTTCGACCAACTTCACAATAGATTCTCAAGTTTTTCTATATTTAAATTTTGCCCCAAGAGGACCACCGAGATATTTAATACGAAGTGTCATTGTCTTACAATCCAACACCAAGGCCAAACTCTCCTCATCTCCCGTATCACCGATTCTAACTATTTCCATCTTTTTTTATATTTATTTTAAGACCGGAAACCATTTGTAAACAAAGAAAAATGCATCTTAAGTGAAGCATAGCATTGATAGTAGGCTTACAAAAATAAGGGTATCATCTGCAAAAAATAAATGAGAGATCTTGACACTTTCCTCCCCCCTCTCTACAACCACTCCTTCCAATAATTTCAGCTCCCCGACTCTCCCCATCAATCTATTAAATGTCTCCACAACGGTGAGGAAAAGTAATGATGACAATGGGTCCCCTTAGTGTAGCCCGTAATTTGACGAGCCCCCATTAACCATGACTGCAAAGGAAGTGGTGGAAATACATTTCATGATCCAAATCTGCCATTTACATCCAAAACCCATTCTTCTAAGTATATAATCCACAAAATCCTAACAAACATGATCATATGCCTTCTCCATATCAATTTTACACAAAATCCTCTTTTCTCTATCCCACAAACTCATCCACCAATTCACTAGCAATTATCACAGCATCCCATTAACCATACTATATATTTCAAAAAAGACATGTTAGTTGTTGAGACTGTAAAAGAGGTGTTATGGTTGAAAAGGATTGATTTTTAAGATGGGATCAACACAACAAGCTCTTCATCCATATACCGATAATTAGGTCTATCATGTTCGCAGTAAGCACATACAAGTGAAATTGACAAAATTAGAGAATTCATGTGACATTTCACTGTTGAAAGTATGGAAAATCGTGTAGCAGATATGTTTTTTTTTTAGATAAGAAGTATGATGTATATATATTAATAAGGTACCAAAAACGGGGGTACCACCCATATATAAAAGATTTACAAAAGAGTTAGTGTATAATGACATTCTCAAAATACTCATCTCTAATAATGTTATAATCTAACAAAATTGTCTCAAAATAATGCATTCATCTATCTGTTAGTCTATATAACCAACAATCTTTACCCTCAAAAGCTCTAGCATTTTTCTCTTTCCAAAGAACCCAAAAAACAGTCAATGAAATCAAATTTGTAATGTTTTTTTATACTTAATTCTTCCCAAGCCTAGATTTCCCCACGAATCGAACTTGTCATTACCCAATTTACTGCCAATAGGCCATAAACTGTGCCATAAGCTGTACACAGTAGAGCACCAAAGTAGTAGGTGATTACAGGATTCTTCAGCCTTCAAATAGAGATAACAACCGTTAATAAGAATCTGTCCTCTGTTTCTAAGTTTATCAATGGTAAGTATTTTCTCCCAACATGCCTCCCATGCAAAAAAAGCAACCCGTGGTGGGGCTTTGGATTTCCAAATTTGTTTACAGAGAAACTTCTGAAAGCCTTCAGCAGTATTATCAACCAAAAATCTGTAATAGTGAAAACATCTTTCTTCCCCATATTTCAAGCAAATTGATTAGACGTATGCTTAACCCTGCTGTGAAGCTAATGTCTTAAGCATGCCTTCATATTCTGATTTCCCAATTATTTAAATTTCTAACCACATTGATGGAGCATTCAATATTCTCATTGATTATCCACTAAGCATCTTCAATCAGCAATTCCTGGATTGAGCAATTTCAAAATCCTCAAAAA